GTATATTACAGGGGGTTTGGTGCAATTTACCCATTTCAGGGATATCAACCCCAACCTCGTTCGAATAACGTGGGACGGGGGCCCTTGTGACCAACATACTGGATGGATACTCCATTCGACCTCTTCCCTGTTGCAACTCTATTTAATACAACTGTCATTTTGTTATGCTCTGGTCCTGATGGTAAACAGTTCAACCAATTAAGTTGGACAATATTGCCACTCACTGTACCATCGACGACTACACGACCACGACGTGAGATTGGAATCTGTCATCTTGGAGTATATGCACACTATATTCATCTAGATTTGACTCTTGATTGTCCATTACCGCCTATTCATCCTTTTTGGTTTAGGTACCGAACTAATTCTGTTCAGGGTTGGGAGGATCAGTACCAGCGTAGGTTGCAATTGTGGTATGAGGAACAAAATATTCCTTGATGAATAAAAAATGAATATTATTCGGTTGTCGTTATTATTTTTATTGTTATGGAATTGTGTGCAATGTCATAAATTTTGAACAATAAAAAAACAATCTAAAACAGGGGCTAAGGATTATTTTGATATAAAGTGCGCGAAAAACGGAGCTAAAACGAGTACAAACGAGGAAAAATAAAACAGAGTCTGTTAAACTCGCGACTCGCGACATCATCTCGCGAGTCGTGATATTATTTCGTGAGTCGCGAGAGTAAGTCGTGACTCGCGAGTTGGACAGAGACAAAAGTGCTAGAATCTCGTGACTCGCGACCTCATCTCGCGACTGTTCTCGCGATGCGCGATATGAGCTCGCGAGTCGCGAGATTTTGACACTGTCGGCTCTGTCCAACTCGCGACGCGCGACTTCATTTCGCGACTCGCGGAGCCAAAAGTGCCAGAATCTCGCAACTCGCGACCTCATCTCGCTAGTCGCGAGAACAGCCGCGAGTCGCGACATTATGTCGCGAGTCGCGAGATTCTTGGATGCACTGCGCCACACTACGTTTTGGGCTCGTCCGAACTCAGAATTGAGTTCCGTTTATTCCTACGCGTCGCCAACGAACCCCTCTATCCAATAATGTAGTAAATTTGCACTAAACTCTCGACATACAATCCCCACACGACTCGTGTGGAGTAGCCGAACCATATATTTTTTAGAACCATTTCACATTGATTATGTCAAACATCATTGTTATGGAATATTTGAGTTCAAATAATATAGTCTAAAAAACAAGGAAAAATACAAACCAACCTCATTAATGTTTTACAATAATAATAATAAAAAAAAACATCCATTACATAATTATTTTGACTTGGCATAATCCGCCTTAAATTTAGCCAATTCATCTGCGTACCGCTTCGCCAGCAGAGGATCATAACCTTTAAAATCCTGCAAGGATTGCGAAAAAAGGCTACAAACACGGTCCATCCACGACAAAAAAATGGAAGGAAAAAAATTATGCTAAATATTTATAAAAAAATAAAATTATTGTAATCAAATAACAACTACAATTTAGCATTAGACTTACATAGACGTTGTTGGCACGCATAGAGACCTCGTTCTGGTCCGGCAGATTCTCTCACAAACATTTAGGATGGGAAACCAGACGGCACCACTACATGTACTCCGCAGTCGCCTCTGCTCGATCATCTGTGCTGACCTTATACATACTGAGGTTGACGGTATGCAATACCGGGAACTGGTTCCACATAGATACTGCAGTGACATCAGAATGCTCAACCTTGTAGAGCCTCAACTCCTACGGACGGCAGGCACTGATTGGCGTGAACATAGGGGGAGGGACTGTGTGGACATACCCCAACTACCGCAGAAACCGCACAAGAAAGTACGGCTCGACGATAACGCGGTACCGAACTAACCCGCAATAAATAAGTCCTCGGCTCTATCTCATGTGGGATAGAGGTGCCGTATGGCAACCATTGCATCTGTTCACAATTGCATAAAAATATTTATAAAAATATTTATATTATTTTAAATAACGAGTAACTAAATTTAAATAAAATAACTTTACGTACACCAGAGGCAGTGAGCATGTCAAGTCTCCAACGAATGGCTATGAGAAGCTCGTCCTTCCTCTGACCCGCCGGTGGGCTCCACATCTGAGATCGTGCGGAGTCGTTAGGACTGAGGGGTAGACGTCCCCCCTGGGGTCGGAAATTGGGGAAATACTCATAAATCCAAGACTGCATAAGAGTCAAGCAGCCGGAAAGCTATCTGGAGTACCCTCTGCTGGCAATACCTAACTGTCGGTACAAATATGCCAGCGTAGCCGATCCCCACGAGTAACCCCCAATGGCATCCACGCCGTTGAGCACCTCAGCTAGGAGCTTGGGAGTCACTCTACTACCACTCTTGTCGCCGAACAAGGTGGTAGACAGTAGTAACCAAATCCAGGCACCAGCCTCATCCAACGCCAGCTGGTTTGTACCCCTGAATTTCTCCACAACGGAGCCTTCTGCCACAGAACCGCGCTGTCAGAACGTCCCAACGAGGTCAGTCTTCTAACCGAAAGTATATCCATGCAATAATCCTGGCAGGCCTTTGTATCCGGCTCCTCAACGACCATGGATCCCTCAACAGGAATGTTCAAAATGGCCCGGACATCGTGCAACATAATGCTCATTTCACCAAAAGGCATGTGAAATGAGTTAGTATCTAGCTGCCATCGCTCCACAAATATAGTAAGCAGTGGAGTGTCCAAGTGGGCGTGCATGGAGTCTACCAGATGTGATAGTCCAGTATCCTTGATCATATCAAGTGTCTCGGAAGACATATCACCTCGCCAATCTTTTAGATTACCAAACGCTTGCACTCTGTGATGGCATTTCAGTAAGCCGCGACACTCTCCATTCCACAACCGCGAGGCTACGTGCCCTAGAAAGCTAGGGATCACACTGTCATCCATGGGCCCACAGTCCACTGGACCTCTAACGATCCACTCTGCCTCACGATCAGTTCTAGATCGTTTGCTAGTACTTGCATTAGAATAGAACATAATGTCACTAATACATGGCTAAGGATCGTTTTGATATAAAGTGCGCGAAAAACGGAGCTAAAACGAGTACAAACGAGCAAGAAAAAAAAAAGCAGAGTCTGTTAAACTCGCGAGTCGCGACTTCATCTCACGAGTCGCGACTTCCGGCTCGCGTGTCGCGAGTTGGACAGAGCCGAAAGTGCCAGCAACTCGCGACCTCGACTCGCGACTCGCGACTGTACTCGCGACGCGCGAGATGAGGTCGCGAGTCGCGAGATTCTGGCACTTTTGGCTCTGTTAAATCGCGTCTCGCGCCTTAATCTCG